GAGTCTGTTCTTTCCCTTTTCAAATAAGCTCCATAACATCCCACACATTTATTGGGGCAAGCAGGGCAGCAACTCTTGAGAAACAATGTTCTGAGCCCTTTAAATCCTTAGTTAAAACCAAAATCTTCAAATCACTTAAGAACTGCACTGTAATGATCAAGCCAGGTCACCTAAGGTACTGTAAGAAACTCTCTACACCAAGAATGAGCAATCCTGGTTTCATTCCAACTCGGCACTTAATGGCCCAGATCTGCTCATTGCTGGCTTAAAGGGACCAGTTTAACAGCTTCTCTAAAGCTCTCCAGGTGCCGGTGCTTCAGAGAGACCTGGAACACCTGCAGACAGCACTGCAGATCAGGATGGCCCACCCCTCCCTCCAGACAGAACACATGCCCACATCACATAGATAGAACCGTGCAGTCCTTTGAGTCATGCAAGAGAAGACGAAAGCCAGGCTCTTAATTGCTCCGCCACAACACAGGATGGAGACAGGGCGCCGTGGACCCCTCTCCTCAATAACTCAATGACTGGTCTTGCCTGGAGAGCTGCTAAAGCCTACAGAGCACACAGTGAATGCACAAGGAACAGGAGGCAGATGTCACACTGGGTGAAGGGAATAACTGCACTCTGCTCCCAGTCTGGAGCTCCCAGTCTGGGCCCCATCACACCCAAGATGTAAACGTAACGTGTCCAGTTTACAAAATCCTGCCTTTCCAACTTCACTGCTGATTACTTAAGGAGACAAACCTGAAGCTGTTGAGCTAACAGGTATTTTGAGAGAGAGATGCAGCTGCACACTCTCTCTCAGCCGCTGTGGCAAACGCGGGCAACTGTTCCACACACCTCACCAAGGATGGAGTCTCCTCCTGAGCAAACCTCATTGTAAACCCAGTCTATATACTCGCCCCTATGCAGAAGCTAATCGAGACAGTACCCAATGACAAGGGAACAGATGTTGCACATCCTTCACCCAAAGCTAGCCCCTAGATTATGTAACTGGCAGTGGGCGTTTTTACGTTGTAAGATACTTATAAAAGGAATCAGAGAAGCCTTCCATGACATAAGCTAATGCAATTAACATTAGCTGGCACTTCCGTGTGTTAAAATGGCCCACCGTAAGTAAAAAACGAAAAAGAAACGCAAGCTAATTTAATGAGCAAGCTGAGCCAAGGTCATATCCCCAGGAGGAAAGGACAATAGAGCAACCGACACAAACTGATCCCCCACGCTGTCCCCTGCCCAGGGTCCTCTCAGTGGCAAGGTGCTCAGCCAGACATTTAAGCCATTATCAGCTTGGGCTGCATTTAGCACAACCTTAATCTGCTATTAAACAAGGCAGAGCCTCAGCACAGGAACAAGGGGACAGTGGAAACGCCTGTGCCGTCCTTAAACTTTGAAAGCGCC